GCATTTCAAACTTAAGTATAAAAATTTAGAATAAAATTAAAAAGTAAAATTAAAAAGTAAAATTCTGAAGTCTTGAAATTCAGTGAACTCAAGGGGGTTAATCTTGTTTCAATATCACGTCCACGGTATTTTATAGAAATTAAATAAAAAGCGAAGAAAGAATATCTAGCCAGTTCAAAGCATTGGTGGATGAAAACTTTACGAACTCTATAAGCTTTATAAACTGTTCCTTTGTCTCTGAACTTACTTACCTCGGTAAGATAGCGATCCTTATCCGAGGGATGAAGTGCACGTTGCGTGAAATGATTCCTCGACAGAAAGAAAGGATCTTTCTTGCTCTTGGTGCAGCCTATGGACGGTATATCGCAGTAAATTTTATTGTTCGAAGAAAAGACGTGTGATTCACTGTTGTCCAGCATCGTGTGGAACAAATAAAATGGCTTATTGTTTGAAGAATTCGCGTGGCGAATGCAGGCTGATGGGCAACCTCTTCTCGCGCAACAACCAGCTGTCTTCTGTAATAATACAATTACTGTTTACTTATGAAAATATCTCGAGATCAATACTTTATGAATAAGTAAGTAACTTCATTTTTTCGAACAAAATATTTTGTTGAGTAGTATTATTTGAATTGGTTGACTAGATTATGAATACATAAAATACTTAATAATTATTTTTTAATAATTATCGATTATTAATATTTTTAATATTTTGATTTAATTAGTAATTTTAATTATTAATCATTTGATTTATTCAAAGGTTATTATTAAATCCAATTTAATACTTAATTTGATTCAGATTGTTCGTTTCTTCCATTATTTTATTATCATCTCGTTAAAGAATTTGTTATTGCCTTCACATTCTTATTGTTAGCTTTTCAAAAATATTCTTGCTTTAAAAGAATTTGAACATTAAATCTCACGTACATTTATAATGGCTAAATAGATATATTATGTACATGTAATTTGTACAGAAAAGACGATTAAGTGAAAGCAATAGATACCATAAATTTTTACGACAAATGTAAAGAGCAGAAAATCACGTTCAACAACTTTCTATGAATTCATACATGATCGCTTATGTAACTCTAAGGGAAATATGTGATTCGATTCTCTAAAAACTAGTATCTATAATGTCTATCATTTTATGATAAAGAAAGCATTTCGTACGATAAAGATCAAAAATCGCAATATTTCAAATGTAATAAAATGTCAGATATTTAACAGTGTTATCATAATGTTGTAACATACAGATTTAAACGAGGAACACATTACTCCTTCTTGAAAATTATGACCAAGATTATGATATGTTTAACCAGTATTATACTTCGTTCTTACAGATAAGGAAATTATAACAATAATGTTCCAAGGAGATACATTTACATTTCCTACCATAAAAGAAATAAAAATAATAACTGGAAAGAAGTCCTATTTTAAACTACAAAATTGCACAAAATACATATAATGTGAAGAGCTTTCTATAGTATTTCTGTAGATTCTATTTTTTTTTTTAAATTATATTCCATAAGATAATTTTCTATCTATTTTATTTTCTTAATTAAATATTCTCAGAAATATGAATTTGTATAAAAATCCGCAATAATTGCACATAACAAGCAGACTGCGTACTTCTATACATTTATGGAAAATTAGATGCTGCAAAAATACGTAAAATGCACATAATATGCAAAACTATGTAAAATATCAAAAATATAATGCTACAATATTTGATCTTCCGTCCAAGCTTTTTAAATCATGTTCATAAAAATTTGCATAAATATCCGCAGCCTAATTACAAGCAGTTCATATTTTAAATGAAGGAACATAGTAACCTACTATACAATTTCGGGAATAAAATATGCTTTGTACGACAAAGAAAATGATCGAAAGAACAGATAAAAATGTAAACGAAGAGGAACGTACACCAGAGATGAAAAATCTCGTGAATGCAACGAGTTTCTCGGAAGATCAATAAAATATTGCGGTCACGAACCTTCTCCGGGAGACGACGACGTTGGAATACTTCTTCTAATAATTTCTGCTCAGGAAAGAATCCGTCTATGGCCCGAATGGATGAGAAGGAGAAACAAGCTGCCATTCCCACGGCAAGATGCTGCGACCACTTTCGCTATTATCCAACATGATCCAACGTATTGCGAAACGCGTAATAGGTTCGTATCTGTGTGTGAAATGTTTCCAATCGGATGTTTCAGCCGGCTTGCGATCTTCTTTCGAATCTGTTAAACTGTACGTATAAGCCTTGTTTCCTCACTGCTTGCAGAGTTGATTAATTCCATGCCGATCAGTGTCAAATAGAAATAAAGACTGAAGACTACATTGATTCGTGAACGTCAAATTGTACAAAATGAAATATAAAAAGGGACTGTTTTTAATTGCAGATAAACAACAAAACGTGTAGAAACGTTGATAAAATGCAATTTATCCCAGCGATCCGCTTTAGTCCAGAAAGCATAAGTCTAAGAAAGCGATTAAACGATGATAGTTTATAACCTCTGAAACTCGGCGATTTTTACAACATTGTCGGCTGGAATAAAATAGAATTCGTTACTGTTAACAATTTCGTGCACACGCGGTGTAAGCAAGCAAGCAAGTACCTGTAAACACGCATTTCATTTCACCTGCGCACCCTTAAATGTAAGAAACAATTCCGCCAGTTTTCTTAGCCCTCGTCGTAAACTATAATAGCAGTATGTTTCGCCACGGTGCACCTGAACGAAACGGAACACTGCGCTCTGCCATACCGCGGCACAGCCATCGTGGATCCAACATCTGTTCCCGACACCTGACACGTCAAGCCTCGCTTCTCCGCAGGGGATCACTAGCCCAACAAACGAGGTCACATCATCAATTTGAGCGGTATCATAGATCAAAGTGATTGACTCGACTTTTTGAATTATTTTAAATTTTAGTGTCAAATGATCGATTTAATGTTTAATTTATTTTCTATTTAAATTCCCTCAATAATTAGCGTAACATCGTTAAAATATCTAAAAAAAATAACCTTTTTGGCTATGGAATAAATAATTTACTTCAGCAGCCAGTGTGACTATTCCAACAATATATTGTTTTATGCTACGCACATAAAAGGAACTTTAAAAGTGAATGTATACTTATTGTTTTATCAATTTCTCTACCTTTTGTTTCGTAGAGTTAATCGATTTAGATACGTCGAAGAAGACAGGAAATACCGCGCCATCTTATCGCTTCACTTTTCGTTATCCGAAGATTGGAGTTAATGCAAACCAAATGTTGATATTTAGACCACAGTTCGTCTGTACTGACAAATTCTGGTGAAGCTTCCAATGTCTATGCGTCTATTTCAAGTAGTTTCTCAGTAGAGGTAAAGGTTCAGCTCGATCAACAGGTGTCATGTTCTAATTTCGAGAAGTGGGATCGTTCGGAAGAACAGGTAAAATGCCATAGTTTTATTTAACTCTATGTGACATAAATAATGCTTGAAAAAACAAATACAATACAATGATCGTACATACGTGGAACATTGAATTTTGAGTATGGTTTTTCATTCATTACCCACATCTGTGAGATTTATGTATGCACATATCGGAGAACTTAATTAGAGTGGTTAAATTTGCTATTAGAGAAATTAATTGGATAAATATCGAAAGATTTAAAATGTATAATCGTGCACTTGTTTTTAAAAAGTATTTTGCATGCCCTCTGTGATATGCAATCATTTACATACGTGTTGAACAGGTTGTATCCGTAGGCGCAGAGCATCGTGATTCGATGAAAGTAACAGTTGCATATGCGTACATTTTTTTTTTAAATATTTCTTAATATTTTAGTGTCGCATATTTTGACGAAGTATTGATAAATTCTTGTATATTACAGTTCTCATAAATATCGAAATGTAAGGATCTATTCTTTTAAAAATACGTTCCTTATGCTTATCAATTATACATTATAAATTCGTTAACAATTTTGTGTGACTAACGCGACATATTACGATAACACTGTTAATTTTAAAAACGCCTGTTATACTATTGTTAAGTCATCTTCCATGCAAATATTTTACTTCCTCTAGAAATAATTACGATACAAGTTATCAGTAACCTAATTTAACATAAGTTAAACATAACAGTTTTATTATACCATATATCAGAAGATACTTTCTTTTTATAGACTAAATTAATTCATATAATATTTATAGAACAATTTTATTATAATATCTAAATTCGAGAATAGAAACGACAAATTAATGTAAGTATATTTCAGATTCTATATTTTAGTTCATATAAATCTTATAGCCTTGTATAAAATATTGAATTTTTCATCAGTGGACACCTGAAAATAAAAAATATTTATTATAAATACCATACGTATTGCTAAAAATTCAATTTATAAAATAACCTTGTTTAATAATAATTTTCAGATTTCGGTATTAAAGAAGGTACAATATCTAAAATGTTAATTTTCACGCATTGGTAATTTTTCATAGTTGTATTAGATGTGCTACGAAAAATGCTACTAGAATGATATCTCTGCAAATTGATGATCAAGAATGATAATATATATTATAAATTGTATTGTCTATCAAACTCACCACCCACACAATATGGACTCACACAAGGCTTGGAATTAAGAGTTTGTGCACCCCGTGTCGCATAACAAGACACGTCACATCTAAAAGAACTGTACGAGTGTGCACAACCCGAGCAGTCAATTGGTCCCACTGGTTTTGAACCTGTCCAGTTCTATAACAAAAATAAAAATAATTACAATAATTAAGCAGCAACATTAAATGAATTTTCGACAGATTTTCTGTAACGAAATAAACGTCATATTAAATTTATCCAAAGAAAGGAAATCATGTGGCATGTTTACTATATTAGTTGATCGGGTTATGCATATACATAAAGAGAAAACGTATAAAAGAGAAAACAATCGTAGATTTCTCATTAACTGCGATCTTTATTAAAATACATTAAAATTAAATAAATTAGTTATACACAAAATACTATTGAGCTTTTATTTAACAAAATAAACTTACATGAAGTACTAATATCCTAAAATAGAAGCTCTTTTATCTGGAATATGGCAAAAAATCTTTATATCATAGAGAATGGGAGAAGGAAGATACGTGAAGTAAAAATTAAGAACCACTGCGTTAAATAATCATAAAAATATTTCAATCACTTACTTGGCCGAAGCAAGGCCATTGGAAAGGCCATTGACATCCAGTACCTAATGAAAGACCCAATCCCAAAGATAGCTGCGGTACCAACGATAGCTGAAAAGGTAGTTGTTGCGGTGGCTGACCACATATGTGTGGAGGACCACACGGTTGTCCAGGTTGTTCAGGTTGCCCAGGTTGCCCAGGTTGCCCAGGGTGCCCAGGGTGCCCAGGGTGCCCAGGGTGCCCAGGTTGCATACATGGAATTGGTGGATTACATGTAGCTAATTGAACAAAGTTATAACTCATATAATATACAAACATTTACCTTTCTTAAGTAAAGTCTAATCTATGTTTAATTTATATTGAATTGATAAAAAAGAAATATATTTCCTAAATATAATAAGTAATTCAATAGTATGTTTATGCCATTTTATAGTACTATGGATATAATTAAAGAAATGTAAACTAACTAGAAATTTGTTTCATCTAACTAATATTATAATTCTACTTTGAGTATCTCGTATATTTTTGTTATATATTATATAGATTTTGCAAATTATTCAAATCATAAATTAATATGAGATAATGAAGGATCATGTAAATCTCCAAATAACAACATCAATCGTTAGTTTAAAATTAAATGAGACTTCAACAGGATCAGTGGCCCACTTAAAAATTAAAATGAAACGTTTAACAAGATGATATCGTTTACTTACGACAACACATTCCATTACTTGTTCCACTTATTACACTTGCGTTATTGTTAATAACGTTATGAATGTCAATCTTCGTGGTAATATTAGTGGTTCCTAAATGATCGCCATTTTTAGGTACGCTGCAATTCCCATGGATGCATTCATTTTCATATTCTGTGATTACTTGAACCTTATGCCTTGTTTTCTTCAAACAGTGATTACATTTCTTGTCACATGGTTCCGACGTATAGTCTGTCTGGCATTTCTTTATACACGATTCCCAACAGGTATGATCTTGATAAAATTCACATTAACACATTTATTAATGTGAAATAATTTGACAAAAATTCGGAATAAAAAGGACATAGGAGGAAATCTTAATACTTAAGCGACACGGGAGGAAAGAATAAAAATTTCAACTGCACTGAGCACGAAAATCGAGAGCTTAGATTTCGCAAAGGTCAACCCCCTCCGACTGTGCTTAATCTCATTCTCATCTCGAAAACAAAATCGAAGCGATCAAATTAACCAAATCTCCGCGCAGAGATTCCACTTTTTGAATTATTCCCAAGAATACGTAAATCTACATAAAAATCAGTTTTCACAGATCAAAATCTGACACTTGATTTTAAATTGCAACACTTTGAATTGAAATGTTACAAACGCTTTTCCCGCTAACCAACGATTGTGACTAATTCTCCCTTGGCTCATCCATCAGAGATTTGATCACTTCGATCGCGCCCCATGGAAAACAACAGTCGTCTGATCTAACCGAACTCCCCATGGAGCGAGTGTTGCCTCTTGTGTCTTCGCAGGCATTTTATGTAGGTCCTGTAATCCGAGTTTTGGCAATCGACGAGAACTTTCTGTTCCTCCGATATGGCTGCCTCGGTGACCGCGACCGGCGTGGCGAGGGTGAGGTACACGAACACCGCGTAGCCGATAAAAATGACAATAAAGCAGAATGTTCGCGGCTGCATCGCGAGGTATTTTAACGAAATAGTCGGCTGCCACGACCCGGGCGTCCCTTTATACTCATATTATCCGGCCAGTTGGGTAAACGACCTCGTAACCCCTCCGTTACAGAGCTAGAAGATTTTTTTTGCGCCGCGTGCAAGAGATACCGGGGAACGTCGCCGTGCTCTAAGCTAATATTTTAACGCGTAAATTTTTCACCGCGATTCTACCACATGACAAATTTGCACTGCTTATCGCGCATCGCCCCGCTGGAATCTTTCTCTTGCCTGCGCTTCGTCGGGAAAGATTCAACGCGCAAGTCAAACACCGATGCTCGGCCTATGCTGAGAAACATTCTTTTTTCCTTTCCATTTTTACGTTGATCTTTTGTCCATGCGCGATCCCCACCAAGGAATGTTTTCATCTATTTTTTGCGCCATTTCTTTTGATCTACGCGGTATACTCTTTTATACGCGATGCCAATTTACTTTAATCTCACTCTGCACGGCTGGAAAATGAAATGAATATTTTTCAATATTTTTTATTCTAATTACATTGTTCTGAGCTTTTTGCTAAGCTTAAGCTTAAGCTTAATGGTAATATATATTATTATTTTTTTTTTTCTGAAACAAATACTTGTACAAGGTCTCTAGACTTCATCAATTGAAAGAAAACAGAAGATTGCGATCGATCCGTGGTTTTTTTCAATTACTGCAATTTCAATGACGATTCAAAAGACACACACACAGCGAAGAGTGAAAAACAAAAACACACTTGTAATACACCTGTAATAATATACCACATTCGCAGTTCTTTATTACCTGCTCTCCGCTTTATGATTCGCAGTTAGTTCGGAATCAGATGCGATGTTCAATTATCTCCTAGAATGCGAACGTGTGTGCTCGAGCGAATTAAAAAGTATAAAGTCTTGGCTGGTAAATCTGTTCGGTTTTGCCAGAACGGCATACGATATATGATTATACGCGTAAACGTATAAACATGGTGGAAACGGCAAACATTTGGCAACAGCCTCTGATTATACACTCTTGATATGGCTTTCGAGCGAACAACGAAGGGAATTTTCTTTGTGACAAAATATATGTGCAGGATAAGATAATGGCATGTTTTGCATAACGTTCATAGATGGTAAACATCAGGGCGATAAAATGCAAACTTGCATAAAAATTCACGGTCCGGTGATGAAAGTCAATTTTTGCACAATCTGAGATAGCAAACAAAAATGATAATGCCCCTTCTTTCGATAGGTATAACAAAACATGTTGAAAGAATATAACTTCAGAAAGTTGTTAATTGCCAAAAAGCAATCCAGTAGCAAAAGGAAAGGATATAGTATTCTTAGCCGTTGAAATAAATCGACAATTTTCTTGATCTTCATTTGAATGAATGAAATTCATTAGCAGGAAAATGCTATGCTCGTTTTATTTGAAAGTTCTACTGGTCGAGCACTTTGGTCTCTCTATTAGTTCAGACAATAAAATATGGAAATTTTAGAAAATGTACATCTGCTTTTCATTACCAGTTCATTACCACATAAATGGATGCTTTACACAGATATACTTACACAACGTAAATCTGCCTGATATTTATAAAAATTTTAAATCGATTCTTCTGTGTCTTAATGTGTAATATTTTCTCTCTTGTATTATTTCTCGAGAATGAAGATATTACGATAGGTCATCAATATGTTTATCAGACTGGTTGTAACATTCTATACACTATATCATTTCCTTTACTCAATCGATACCTATGAAGTTCTTTCAATAGATATCTCAAGAGAGACATGCTTACGTAGAATGCGTTTCCCATTCTTTCGCGGATTTATACGAGATAAAGATGAAGAAATCTTGCTTGCGTAAATATAACGTAAGATATAACGTTATTATTGAATCGTAAATTCTTGTGCATTTATATGAAATTATAAATATAGGAAAGCACACGAATATATAAATATATACAAAAATCTGGTGAAGCATCTGTTATGATATAAAAATTTAAACTTGTATAAATATTCGCAATCTAATTATTCTATTTGCAACTTTCACATTTTTTTACGTAGTAAAGATTAAATGGGCTGAAATTACAGTAAATTATTAATAAATAGCATTCCCGTTCCTGCAGACGTAATCGGAATGATCGTGATCACTGATCACTAGATATTTCAAATGACACATGCGTCATAAATGTTTAATTTAAGCGCCTATTACTTTATGAAGCACGAACGCACACGAACGAAGATCGAATCTGTAATGGATCGTTTAATAAAAAAAAAAAGTAGAATAAATGTTATTATCGTCTAATGCAGAAAATATGTGTTAATACTGCTAATAATTTGGGTCACGGTCCCGTATTGCAGTCGCTGAAAATAATTTTAATCGTCGTTCATACGGTACAAAGATGACGACCAGAATATCAATGCTGTCACCCTATACTTTTTCTAATCGAACACGTGATTTCATCGCATATGCGCAAACTATTGACATCTTGTCGTAAGCAGCTGCGCATAATTAACAAGAATAAAGAAAACGCGAGAACAAAATATAGAAACAGAAAAAAACATACCAATAGTATACAGTTTATTTGATTTATCATTAAAACTATCAGTTTAGTTGAAACTACTAATTCATTAAAATTACCAATTGATTATGCTACAGAGATAATTTTGTAAAATATATAAATAGATGCTTGTGTTCTTCATTTGTTATAAACTTTTTTCTGTTCCATGCACATTCATTTCTCTAATACAAATTTTATATCTTAGTTCTAATGTTTCTAATTTGTAACATGAGAATCGTCGTCTATGTGTTACCATTTATTTCTATGATTTTGTTCAGCTTTAAGTTAAAAATGAAATTATCAATTTTATAGAGTATCTACTGAAATATAAGATGAGTATAATTTAAATTAAAATAAAACGTATATGGACCGTATATTGTGACCTCAAGAATTTAACATTATCATTAATGTTTCAACCTCGTTTTCTCAGTACCGTTCGATCACCGGAAGCACATCGTTATACGTGCCGATATTCAACTTCGGATGGTTCTTACTTTGAATATTGAATTTCTCATTAATGTGGAATAATCTATATTTTACTAATATTTTTTAGAATAAAAAGTCTGAAAGAAGCTTAACGTGGTCAACGATATCAACTTTATTATTGCACTTCATGCTTCTGTTCAATAACAATCTTCTTCAAATGTAAAAAAGTATTGATCGAACGATCAATGTATGTTTGAATGTATCGATAAATAACGATACACCCACTATATATATATGACAAATATTTAGTAAAATAAATTCATGCATTGGTAGAATTTTTATTTTCAATAAAATAATTAATTCTTATTCGTCGTAATTGTTTTGTTGTCAGATCAAAAGGCATTAATAGATTAGTGGGTGTATTGTTATTATATATATATACTATATATATATACTATATATATATATAGGATAAAGTGAAGGAAAAATATATATATATATACATATATTTTTTTTTCCTTCACTTTACAACAATTCCAATGCTTATTACATAAAGCTTATTTCCATAAAAAGTTTCCGAAGAACATGACCATATCTTATATTGACATCCTTTATATTGGCACTACTGGTGAAGCGCAATACTTTAAAAATTGTCAAAATAAGACCCGACTGATCCACCAAAAAAGAATCGCGGTATTCTTTACAGTTTCCTCTTCGTCTTAATTTTTAATAAAACCAGGAGAAGTATAACCGATGGAACTACGGTTCCAAAACTGATCGTGGAAGGGAATCGGGCCTTCGTTCCTATGACGTGAGCACAGCAGAAAAGTAACGGGCACTGTGGTAGCGAACAGCACGTTGCGCTTTCAACGCAATGGATTCTTACCGGATCAGCTAAATATACTGGGTGTCTTGAAATTACAGCTACTTGCCTTACGCTGGTTAATACATCGACGATAGAAAATTATAGAATGAAATTTTAACGAACCGCTGTTAATATTGAAGATATATTCACGACACGTTTGCTAATAATAAACACATACGTAATGAAATTAACACTCGTGACTACGCTACGAGAGTAATATAACAAGAAAATTGTATGATGAATATTATACGCTTGAACGTTCATTAAATGAACATTCATGTAAAAATGACTATCGAAAAGTCTTACAATTAGCGAGATTCCACTTTTCCGTTTTTCTGAAATGTCATTCATATGGTGATTATTAACCATTACACTGCGCGTAATTTACTCATCCCGCCATTCCTCCTAACCTAACACTTCGGGTTCCAATCGATTCAAAATCGAGAGCTTCGTAGAATCTGTTACGCAAAATAAAACCTGTGAATTTCCGTGGAACTACAGAACTTTAACATCGACAAAATAAAGGAAGACTTACTTGAAACGAACAAAGTGTTTCCAGAGAGTAAGGAAACCGGTAGTAAGGACACTGTGTAGAAAAGCGCGCGAAGTGGGGTGGCGCTGTCTCGTGTGCGCGGCGTGCGTGTGCCCCGGGACGCGCAATGGCCGCCGTGACCCGACGTGCGGCGGTTCAGTGTCAATCGTCCTTAATTTTCCCGTTTTAATTCGCCGCTCCACGCCTACGAAAATGCGCGCTACCTCGGCGTGCGTACAGTCGATGCGGCTCTGCGACACGGTGTACCTCGGCGATCGTCGTCCTTCTGTCCTCGGTCGTGCCAACGCCGTCTGTTCGCGGATGTTCGGAACGTCGCCGAGAACCGCCGTGGTGGATACCGACACGCGACCGTGCGTGTCGAAAAACTGCACAGTCGCCGTCCGCTCTTCCTTGGTGGATAACCGGCCGAAAAAGCCGAGCCAGTGAACATGAATTCTCGACGTGTACCCCCGTCGTGCGGCTCTCGCGTCTCGTGAAAGTGGTCCCCTCGGCGGATCGACGCTCGATTTTTAACCGCGCGGGAACAGTCCTCGCCGCGAGCAAGTGTCAATTGACGGTTTAACAGGCGCATTGAGAGAGTGGACGCAGGGGAGAGCAGTGCGTTACTGACTGGTTGCGCGTGTTTCGTGCTGAAGAACGACTCTCCGGACTTGTCGACGAACATAACTCGCGCCGTTCGAAAAACGTGAGAATCACTGGCGGTGCCGCGTGAGCAACAAGTGGTCTTTTCAGCGATCGAGGGATGAGACGAGCTTGCAGTCAACTTTGAACCACGCTTCGCCGACGTCTGCTACCTGCCAGACGTGTGTGTTCACCGCGGGGGGGAAAAAAGGCCGGTCGCCAGCCAAGGTTCAAGGGGCAAGTATAATAACGAACGTTTGTCACCCGGCGTTGAACGAATATCGCGGCACATTGTGTTAAACGAGCGCGAACAAACGCATTTAACAATGTACGCGGTTTCACTGCACGCGACATTTTCTTTTTTTTCTTTTTTTATCCCCGGGAAGTTTCGCATAACGAGAGTATCATCGTCCAGCTACCGTGAAACAGGAAGTTGAATTTTTACTCGTTACGATTAACGTAGTAATTGTTAGAGACGCGGTAACGCTAGGTAACTATTTTATAATATCGCTTCCAATTATATTATTTTTTGAATGCACATGCACACGCTTGGTTATTTTCGGAATAATCGTTCTGGGTGCTGAGCAATCTAACGGCCATAGTTCGATGAGTAACGCGCTGGCATGCTGAGAACTGATTTATTCGAATAACCTGCATAATGGACACGGAACGTAGACGTAATTATATCAAGGATAGGTAGCCATATAACGTCAAAGTATAACTCTCACTCCTAGTATGGGAATAATTATGGGCACGCTTGTCGAACTTTCCATCAGCGAATTCAGATGAATTTTGATAAAAAAAAAAGGTGCATCCGTGACGTTTAAGTGTGACATGCTACATTGTATCATGTTATAAATACATCTAATTGAGATTTAATCTAGGATATATATATATGTGTGTGTGTGTGTGTCGAAGCTTGGATATATATATATATGTAGGATATATATATAGGATATATATGTATATCGA